ATTGTGCACAAAAATCCATGCAGAACCATAAGGTTCTTTACTGTGAGTTTCATTAACAAACCGGTATCTCTCTGTCAAGTTCATCATTTCTTCTGGGTCCTTCGGATCCACTTGACTGACCCATTTCCGTAGCGCTATCGGCAGACTCCTGAGAAAGCGATAATCTTTTCAATGATTACTGAAGCAGAGTTGATTTCTGGCTGTAGCCACTTCTGGGCAAGTCTCAAGAGGTCATACATTTGTGACCTAGTAGATTTCTCTGTATCATAAACCCATGTATTATATCTTTGGGCTCGCACTGCAGACGTAACTCCAAGCCGTGTTAGTATTTCTGCTTTCAGTCGGTCATAGTCTTGTGCTTGGCTGAGAGGCAATCATATGCTTTTTGGGATTCTCCACTGAGACAAGGGGCTAATAATCCTGCCCGCATCCTCCACCATCTTGTGACCTTTATGGGCAAAGCAACACAGTCCTCTAGGGTTGCTTTAGGGTAACAAGTCTCTTATGCAAAAAAGGTGTGGTTTATTTACATTGTGCACAAAAATCCATGCAGCAATCAGTTTGTTCAAAACAGAAAGGAAAATCTACAAACAAAATCCTAGCTCAAATTCGAGCACTTACTAAACATAAAGTAATGTCCCTTACTAAACCAGGGTAATAATCTAAACAAATCAACAAAATAAACATTGGTTTCACCAACCTTTAGCACTTTTTCTGGTGCTGCTCTGCACAGACCTGCTCTCTGCAGGTCAGATTGTATCTCCTCCCTTTCTACTCTGAGACCTGCTAATTAAAGCCTCAGCAGTTGATAATTGGGAAGGTGAATGAGTACAGGCTATGGAGGATTCTGGGTCCTAAATACCTTCCTTTTATTACCCTCCCATAGACTCTGTCACAATATATATATATATATATATATATATATATATATACAAACATAAATATTTTATATTACAAACATATATATTTATTTTGCAGTACACTGATATGCAAATTTTTGTGTTCACAGATAAGAAGTGAGAAAAAGTAACCAATAGAGCAAACATTGAAGGAGCAGTAACAAAAATCTATTTTTACCTTTTTTTTCTCTGTTGTTCACTTGTCATTTGATTTGTGAATAAAATCAACATTTAGTAGCTGTCCCCTAACCATCAGTCAACCTTTTTTCTACCAATCATCTTGGTTTGTTTGAGCCACAGACACAACTCTGAATCATGGAAAAAAAACAAAAAACATGTTCATCCATTGTCCATATAGTTGGGCTTTGTGATTCATTCATATGCTGTTTAAGAGTCACAGAACTTGGATGACCCATCGATCAACCAAAACTTGGAGTAATCGCAATTAATTTGTAAACCAAAGATATAAGTCTAGTGGGTATTAGGTCTGCATGGGCAACGAGAGAGCGAGTAAAATGACTTTACACAAGAGTAGAAGGGGGCAGGGACTAAGTCCGGTAAAGAGCCTTCTCTTTCAGAATTTTAGTAAGTGAACACCAGGTACCGGTTCTCAATCAGGCCTGGAGTGATGGATCTTTGGGGCACTGTTGTGATGAACTATCCGGATCTCCCACTAACTTGAGTGTGGGTATTGTTTGACTTTACAAATGTTTTAATGTAGACCGTATCCTCCCCTACCAATTACAGTTATCATTTTTATTATGTGCCAGTTGCTTTTACAGCTCTTTTGAACTTGCTACAGTGTCCCACGTATAGTATAATGCACCTATAATATGGTTCGACAAGCCTGAAGTCAAATGCATCAACTGTCTCACTCTTCATTGCTTGTTTATAAGCTTGGTTTTCCCTAGTGTCAGTGCCTCATATATATTCATATGAACACCTCTCTATCCCAGTTTATGATTCGCAGCAAGCCATTGGACTGAGAGCCACTGCATCTCTGTGCAACTTTCCTATGATCAGGTATTTTTCTTTCTTTAATTATTCTTGTGTTATCATAGTCTGCCACCTACATGTTATATACGAGTGTCAGCACTCTTATCTATATATTGAGCTCCTGAGTACCCTTGCAGCAGCAAAGCTTGTGTGATTATTAATATAACATTGTTTTTATTTTCACATAATTACTAATTTCTATATGTCTAATGTTTCCAACTTGACAATTTCAGGATGACCCAACGAATTAGGCATACTTGTTTAGCTTGACTTAAATTTTGTAAAACTGTGCCTGTCCTTTGAATGCCATGCCAAAGTTCAGTTATGTCTGTATTTGAAATGCTTAAAGTGGCACTGTGATGCCGAACTTACCTTTCCTCAATCTCTTCCTCTTCCAAAGAACTTTCTCACGCTGTGTAAAATGACACAGAGCACTGTGATTGGATGGCTTGAAATCCATCCAATCACAGTGCTCTGTGTCATTTTACACAGCGTGGGAAAATTCTTTGGAATTTTCCCACGCTGTGTAAAATGACAAAGCGCACTGTGATTGGCTTAAACTCACCAATCAGAGTGTTCTTAGCCTAATTGCAGGGCGGGGCAAGGCTTTATAAGCCTTCCCCGCCCTGCAGAGCTCAGTCTGTGCGGAGCCCTCCATGGGTGAAGATGGATTATTTTTTTGCGCTCTGGTTTTTTCTTTTTCATTGGTTTTTTTTTTGCGCTCTGGTTTTTTTATTTTATTTTAAGGTCGACGGGTATGATGGTTTTTTATATGGCCTTTTTTGGGACTGAAAAATTAAGATTTTAGAAAAAAAGAAGACATTGAATGGTAAGTTTAATTTTACTTTACAGGTTAGTAATTTTATTCCCCCCTCACTATTTTTTTTAGGGTGAGGGGGGTAGGTAGGGGACTTTTTATTTGGGCAGGGGGGTGGGTGACTAGGGGCTTGGGGACCCCTAGTCACCTTTGATGGGGGGGATTTGACTTAGGGCCCCCACCCGCTGCCCAGGGGTGGGGGCCGGGGGGGAGGACAGTAGGTGCCCCCCATTATCTTTATGGCCCCCACCCACCGCCCAGGGGTGGGGGCCGGGGGGAGGACAGTAGGTTTCCCCCCCACTATAATTTGGCCCCTAGCCGCCGCTCAAGGTAATTTATGGCCCCCACCCACCGCTCAGGGGTGGGGGCCGGATAGTAGGGTTTTTTTTTTTTACAGTGAGCAGCCACAGGCTGCTCACTGTTTAGTAGACATGCCCCTACTCGCGGTATAGCGAGTAGGGGCATTGGGGAGATTTTAATCTCCCTTATGCTATTATGGGGTCATATTGACCCCCATAGAGTGAGAGGGGACCCTGGGGGGCTTATGAAGTGGTGGGGAGCACTGCTCCCTGCCGCTTCTATCTTTACATATTACAAGGAGGGAGCTGTGCGCTGGTAGCTCCCTCCTTGTAATAAACTGAACGAACAAACGAACACTGATACACAGTGTTAGTTTGTTCGTCTGACATTTCTATTCATTCATTCGTCTTTCTGATGAATGAACGAATAGATGAAATTCCCGTTCGCATGTCTAAGTGTTTCATTGAATCCCACACAGCAAAGGATCGACATGGCAGTGTGCCAACTTCTCCACTCCCCAAGCCCGAGCTGGTGTATAAGCTGATGTCTTTAAACCACAAAGCCCTCTATCTACAGAGGTACCAGGTTGTGTATGGCTGATGGGTATAGTGTCCATCTTGGCTCTTGGCCTAGAAGGCAAGCAGTGTGTCGAGGCTCCACCAGAGGTTTCCTTAGCTCCAGATAAGGTACAGGGTTGCTGCCTCTGTCAGGACTTAATCCGATCCCAGAAGGCCGAGCAGATTGTGTTGAAAGCTGCTTTAAATCTGGATTCCCATAGAGGTCATATTCTCTGGTAAAGTGGTGGCCATTTTAGGCATGCTGCAATGTCTTGCCGATAATTGCTGTAAGTCTATGTGCTTTTTAGTGTTGGTAAGCATTCTTTGGTGGGGAACAGGATATCCCCCACCGGTCCAAATGGGGGGAACGAGGTGGCTGTTGTCAGTGTCAGAATTGCCAGTGCGATCAGGCTGAGAGATCAGCTGTTTCTCCCCTCTAGACATCCCCCACAATATCTAGGCCACAAATCAAACTCAGGCCAAAAGAGTACATCAGCAAACAGGAGCAAGTAAGTGTACTATAGTGTTGTGTCTGAGGGTAGATTCAGGGCTGAAAATGAGGATTTAGTAGCTACATTTGAGAAGCTCAGTCCAGTCATGTCTGTTCACAATGTTGGCCAGCCCCTACCAACATTAAAAAAAAAAAAAAAAGTTTTACTTTAAAACCATAATTACTCCTTATAATTTTAACCAGCAGTAAACTAGTTCAACAAGCGCTATTGGACAGCTTGTATGTCAATACTTTAGTTGGTTATATATATATATATATATATATATATATATATATGTGTAATTTCATTCTAACTGTATTTTGATATTAATATATACATATTGGTAGCAAAATACACTTAGCCTTGGCCTTCTATATATTTTATGCTGAATATAAATAAATACAAATAATTGCAAATATATATATATATATATATATATATATATAATTACATATGTATTTACGTAGAATTTAATTACATAAGTACCCATATAGAATTTACATACATTTATATGTATATATATATTAAAATTCTATATTTATGTAATCTTATTACATAATTATGTGAATTTAGTAATTAAAATTTTGATTCACATGCCTGATGACCCAGATAGAAAGTCCAGAGAATTTAATTTGCATGCCCTATATTTGACCCTGTAACTTTTCAAGACACCATAAAACCTGTACATGGGGGGTACTGTTTTACTCGGAAGATTTCCCTGAACACAAATATTAGTGTTTTAGAATGGTAAATTGTATTACAACGATGATTTGCATTTTTTATAAACAAATGGCACTTTCTCTAATGATATTGTTGTAATACAAAACATCTTAACACCTGTTCATTGGGGGTACTGTTGTACTTGTTAGTAGTGATGTCCCGAACTGTTCGTCGCGGACTCATGTACAGGTTGCGGACCCATGTACAGGTTGACCTCAATCAGCAGCAGACACATTCCAGCCAATCAGCAGCAGACCCTCCCTCCCAGATCCTCCCACCTCCTGGACAGCATCCATTGTGAAGCTGCATTCTTAGTGAGCTGTCCAGGAGGTGGGAGGGTCTGGGAGGGAGGGTCTGCTGCTGATTGGCTGGAATGTGTCTGCTGACTGTGAGGTACAGGGTCAAAGTTTACTCAATGATGAGTCCGTGGCAAACCATTCGTGGCGAACAGTTCGGGACATCACTACTTGTTAGACATCGCTGAATACAAATATGTGAATTTTATTGTCGTAAAAGCTAACAGTTTATGATATTCAAAAAACAACATTTCTTAATTTCCCACATTTTTTAAACATTTTATTCATATTATTTTTTGTGTCTTATATAAATATTTGATGTTAAATGAAAGCCCTGTTTCTCCTGAACAAAATTATATATAATAAGTGTGGGTGCACGTAATATGAAAGAGGTGAATTACGGTTAAACAGACATATAGCGCAAATTCCAGGTTTTGTTTGCGTTTTATTTTGATCAGAACTTGTACAATTGCCTCCATCCTTAGGGGGTTAACCAAGGAACCAAAGATATGTTAGGATAGTCAGCATGAAAGGGTATAAGGCAAATCCTCGTTCTCAAGACGTTAACAAAGGTTTATATAGCAAAGTACATTATTTCGCATTTACTTATTTCCTCTAGGTTGAGTAGCTGACAGCTACTTTACTGACCCGTTCTTGTAATTGTTATTAATTCACTGTCTTTTTTCAGTCTATTGGACAAATTCTTTTGACACTTATATTACATTTACTTTATTTAATGCCAAAGCAATAAGACTAATTAGATTTGTACTGGTTTCAGCTATATATTGTAATGGGCAAAGGATCTAAATAATTACTAGACCTGAAGATTCATTTCATCATGAACTGTAGTTTGTCCGGATTTGAGCCAATTAGTTGGTCCAAAGGTTGTCTACTCCTGCCTTAGACAAAAGTTTGTTGGCACCTTGAAACCAATATTTTCATGACTTAATTAACATTTCATTCACAGATTAAGAGAGAAAAATTACAGAGGGAGAAAAAGGAGTATTAAAAAAATATTGTGTATATATACATATGTATCACTTGATTTGTGAAAAATCAACATTGGGTGGCTGTCCAACAATTATCTTTTATTTCCATCAGTCTTCTCTTATTTTAGTGCCACTGCAGAATTCAGATTCAAAAATCAAGGCAAAGATGCTCACCTGTTGTGCGATTTATGTGGTTTGTGATTCAACCACATTTTGGCTCCAAAGTCCTCCTCAATTCCTCCTGTACTTGTTTGCCAACTTTTGCATTGTCTCTTAGATGTATTGTACTTTTTACTTGTACCAATTATACCGATGGATAGCGCTGCAAAATGTTTTGGTGCTTTATAAATAAAGTATACGCACTGCAATGCCAGCAATATTCGATGTCCACATTCTTGGGGTCTAGGAAGGAGGGAGGGCAAACAAGAAAAAGAAGGGAGGGGGAAAGAAAGAAAGAAAGAAAGAAAGAAAGAAAGAAAAAATGGAAGGGAAATTAAAATAAAGAAAGAAGAAATTCCTGTTCCTCTTTTGTACTTGTCTCAGGCCCTGGTTTATTCCACACCTGTTTAACACTATATTCCCAGTAATATCAACAATGGCAACAGGTGATCGGGACCTTGATATGTGTGCCACTATGATTTATATCCTCACATGCATCCTATAATTTAGTGTGGCACTGTTCTAATGTAGGCAACTGCTCCTAATGTACATCTAGATTTTGTTTCCTGACCTCATAGTGTAGGCTGGACAATAATACCCACCACTCCCTAAATGTAAAACTTTATAGGTTTCTAACTTTGACATATCTACTTGGGCTATGAAACAATTGTTGCTGTGTTATATGTTTGATGTAGAGTCCCTTTTGAAGAGTTTACATACCATATGTTGCCATTAACTTAGGGTCTACTCTACCCCCACGTGAGTGTCCTTTACTAATGTATTGTTATGTATAATTTTAATTATTTTTTTGTTTGAATGTTTTGTATTTTTCATACCTAACATACACTAACCTGCAAGTTGCTGCTTCTCACGATCACTTGCCAGCTTAGTCTAGACATCCTCTCTATATTTATGGAATCTTCACCCAAACTCTCTTCCTCTTCCTTTTAGCCCCTTCACTCTTCTGCTCCTTCGCTCTTCACTCTTTTATTCCATTTCCTGGTAGTTGGTATGCGGATTAAAGTCATGTGCTATCAATTGGTATTTTACAATTTGCACTGTAGATGCTAAATTATTAAACTTCCCGACTAAAAGGGATTTCACCCAGGAAACCCAGTTACTCACTGCCAGTCCTCATGCAGTCCTCAAGCAGATAGACTTAGGTTCTTGTATCTCAGCACTGTACTCCTTACCTACTGCTCAAGTTTGTGTAAACTATGAACTGTCCCATCCATTTAATATATAAAAAACAGTAACCAAATGTATTTTGTTTTTTTCTTCTTAAACTTAAAAACCTTCCAAATGCTGCTAGTGGTAATCCACATATTTCTGGGATTTTGGGGGTACTGGGTTTCAACAGAGGGAAGGCATACATGGATGACTTGTTTTTCACCATCTCAGACCCCGTTGTCATCCTCCCAGCTGCCATAAAAGAATTTCAAACATCCAACACCCTTTCAAATATGAAAATTGATTATTTTAAATCTGAAATTCTCAACCGCAAGTGCAATAAAACCATATGCTCCTTCCTTCAGAGTTCTTATCCGGTGTATAAGATCAATCAAATATCTGGACACCCTGATCCCTGATGATATTTCGCAGACCTTTAGCCTCAATTTCCCCCCTCTACTTGATTGGGTCACACAAGACCTGCAAAAATGGATGCTTCTGCACATAACTTGGGTCAGCAGAATATGCTTCCTGAAGATGAACATTCTTCTACATTTCCTGTACTTACTCTAGACACTCCAAGTCTATATCACACAACTCTTTTTTTGGTTAAGTCCGCAAAACTATTTTAGAATGTGTCTGGAGATATCGCAAAGCTAAATTATGACCTAAACAACATGGAGGCCTAGGTTTACCTTAAATTAAATTGAAGCTATCACAAATGCTTATCTCCAGCAAATAATTGAATGGGTGATCTCTTCCTGCAAGATTTTGGTGCAAATGGAAGCTGATTACTCAATAATCCTTTTTTCTATGTTCTCCCTTGGCTCCCACAGGATCTTATCCCACATTACACACTACTTTGTACCCTTCCCTATTCCTTTTGTTTTTGGCCTACAGTTTATGCCAGCTGAATTCTATACTGCCTGCAGTCTCTCCATTCACTGCCAAGCAATTTTCAAGCAATTTAACACTAAATAAGAGTCCCTGGCCACCCACAGCCAGCCCCTACTGGAGTTGTGGCTAGGGCACAGATTACATACTTCCTTCTAGCCATACCAATTCATACCAGCAATGGGTGCTGTGATAGGCTGAAATCAGTCATCTCATACTTTCATCCAAACACAGCTTCCCTTTGCTGCTCAGGCTAATGCTTACTAGTGATGTCGCGAACACGAAATTTTCGGTTCGCGAACGGCGATCGCGAACTTCCGCAAATGTTCGCGAACCGCCATTGACTTCAATGGGCAGGCGAATTTTAAAACACACAGGGACTCTTTCTGGCCACAATAGTGATGGAAAAGTTGTTTCAAGGGGACTAACACCTGGACTGTGGCATGCCGGAGGGGGATCCATAGCAAAACTCCCATGGAAAATTACACAGTTGATACAGAGTCTGGTTTTAATCCATAAAGGGCAGAAATCACCTAACATTCCTAATTCACAATGAATATGGATTGACACCTGACATATGACATATTGACACCTTGACATATGGATTGACACCTGTCCTCAGAGCCCCTAATGCACACGGACACAGAGCAGAATAGGGACTGGTCCCCCTACATAGGGTCACTTGGCAGATATGGATTGACACCTGTCCTAAGGATCCCTGATACACACTGACACAGAGCAGAATAGGGACTGTTCCTCCTACATAGGGTCACTTGGCAGATATGGATTGACACCTGTCCTAGGGATCCCTGATACACACTGACACAGAGCAGAATATGGACTGTTCCTCCTACATAGGGTCACTTGGCAGATATGGATTGACACCTGTCCTAGGGATCCCTGATACACACTGACACAGAGCAGAATAGGGACTGTTCCTCCTACATAGGGTCACTTAGCAGATATGGATTGACACCTGTCCTCAGAGCCCCTGATACACACTGACACAGATCAGAATAGGGAATGTTACCCCAACATAGGGTCACTTGGCAGATATGGATTGACACCTGTCCTCAGAGACCATGATACACTGACACAGAGCAGAATAGAGACTGTTCCCCTACATAGGGTCACTTGGCAGATATGGAGTGACACCTGTCCTCAGAGACCATGATACACACTGACACAGAGCAGAATAGAGACTGTTCCCCCTACATCGGGTCACTTGGCAGATATGGATTGACACCTTGTTACAAACTGCTATTTGTAACTGGCCCTTTAAATGGCAAATTGCCCTGCTTCCCTGGGTTGTGGAGAAGCCGATTTGCCAGCCTCCTCCCACATGACTATGGCCCCTGGGAGATTGTGAAAATGTATGCACTTTTATTTGGTGTGTATGGCCCTTTAAGACTGTCGGTGGGCATATTGGGGCTTATGGACTCTTTATGTGACTGGTGCTGGCCCTTTAAACACCTTTTTGGGACATCAGGAAGATTGGGACACTGCCCCTTTAAGGCCGTGTCCCCAGACTTGTTGGGGACACTGCCCCTTTAAGACGGTGTCCCCTGTGTCCCCAGACCTGGTGCAAACCCTTTGTGCCTGCCTGTCTATTTCCCACTTGGTTCAGTAAATGGGGCTTACTGAACCAAGTACCACACAGGCAGACCACCCAGAAGTGGAAGTGTGCAGGCAATTTACCTCCCAGAAGCTGCGGTTAACCGCAGCTTAATTGACAATGCTTTGATCATTCGACGAGGTCAGCGGTATGTGTAGCCAAATTCATGGAACTAAAATCGGCTACACATTTCCGCGAACACCACTGAGCTCTACCTTCTCCCCTACTGGTTTTGCAGCTGCAGAGACTAAGTCCCATTCGG